TAGCTCCGCCGCTGCCTAGACACCCGGGTCCTGTAAGGCCTATCTCAGAAACGAAAAGTTGCCTAAAGAATGTCCATTTCGTTTCCTCAAAAGTCAAAATGGAGTCTGAAGAGGATTTAAACCAGTGGTAGCTAGCAGCAGGGTTCTTGAAAGAAAAAGAAAAAGAAACAAGATGCGACCTTCTCGGGGTGGAGGTAGGCCTTGTCCCTGAAGAGCAGCAGGACGCCGGCGTCGTCCATGGCCCGCGCGAGGCCCTCCGCGTCATCGCGGGTGCGCGCCGCCCCGGCCTCCACGCACGCGTCGAGGAGCTCCCCGTAGCCGATCGCCTCGCGAGGCCCGTCCCGCAGCCGCCGCTTCAGCGCCTCGACCCCGACGAGCCGCACCAGCCGCCGCGCCTCGGACGCCGTGACCGGCGGGTCCACCCGCGGCGGCGAGTAGAGGCGGCGGAGCGCGTGGGGCGGGCAATGCGCGCGGAGGCGGGAGGCGGCCGCGCGCCACATGGTCGAGGCCTGCGCTGCGCTGCGTGCGAGGCGTGAATGAGGCGGAGTGGAAGACGGGACGATCGATCTCTCTGGAGCTGCTTCTACTTGTGGGGTTTTGGACCTTCTCCACCTTCCATCTCTTGTGATTGTGTGCCAGCGACGTGGTGATGGCTTCACGCCGAGGGAAAGAATCCATCTGCAAAAAGCGGGAAAGGAAAGTGCGTGGCGTGTTTGGGAGATTTTGGGCGCCATCGCCTGCCAGCGTCTTTTTTGTTTCGGGTTCTTCCATTTTTGCGCACGTTTTTCTCGCTTATATACAGATAAACACAAATGTTTTTTGTTACTCCTATGTAAGGTGCAGCTTGCGTGTGAAGTGATGTGATTTGAGCGCGTCTGTTTTCATGTCACGGCTCGAGAGCGTGTGTATCCTTCTTCTTTTGCCGGGAAGGTTGCATCTATATCTATAATTCTACATCGCTTATGGTGGCCATCAAACCATGTCAATTTAATGACCTAAAATGATGAACGCTCAACATATTTAGCGTGCAATTAATATCATACCAAATATAAATACATGTACTACTCGTAAAATTTATCTGTGACTGATATTATACATAAAATCAACATATAGTTAATTTTCTTTTCAATATCAATGTACATTACACGTACGCAGTTACTCCGATTGGGTCATCTATTTTAAAACGAATGGAGTACTAGTCTCTACTACTATTAAAAGAGCAAACATAAGTTTTTTTATGGACACACCCTGAAGTACACACAGAGAAACCACGAACGTCCGATCTAGCAAGCTAAATCACATCCAACTGCCCATGTTAAATCTGTGAGTTCAACGGTTGAGATGAAATGTTCTGCCGGCAGACCTGCCCTCGCACGTCATGCGAGACGACTCAACACCCAACGATCGCTACATCTCAGGAGCAAATATGGAGCGGTTTCCTTATTTCCTTGATGGTAATTAACTAATGACCCTGCATGCAAGGAAATCAATTAAAGCTTGAGACATTAATGGAACTATGCATGCAGCCCTTCGGCCCAAACATTGCGCAGGTTTGTTTTAGATCCGGATGCCACCTTCCACCTGGGGTCCTGGCGTGGCCGCTTTTGATCATCGGCAAGCTCCTCGACGTCGTAGGGAAGCTGCCGCATGGATTCCTAGGGCGCCTCGCCGAACAGTACGGCCTGCTGATGACACATCGGCTGGGCACGATCGTCGTGAACGTTGCCTCCTCCGCGGCCATGGCCCGAGATGGACGCCGAACACTTGTTGTCGTCCATGCGGCCTCACGTGGACGTGTTGCAGCCGCAGTTGCGGGACGCGGTCCTCGGCGTGCTCCGCGGCTTCCGGCCTGCCCGTGGAGGCCGGCCATCGTCGGCCACCCGGCGTTCGCGTCCATGATGGACCTGCAGTGGCGCGTCATGTTGTCTGCAGCCGCTGGGGACATGGACGCACGCGGCGTGGCCGCGGGCGAACAACGCTACGTGTGTGCCCGCGGCTTGGAGCCCCTGCCGGTTCGAGATCCACACTGGTCTTTTCACCGCCGTTGAAGTGCTCCCTGCTGCCAATCCGCCCTCCTCCACCACTATCTCCTCGGCAAAGGGGCCGCTCCATCCATCGGTGCCTAGAAGGAAGCGACCATGTCATCTTTCTCCCTCTCAATCCTTCTTTCTGTTGTTTGTGCATGGGACATTCAATAAACACACGATAGCACGGAGGTCTCTGCACGAGAGCACGACAGCGGGTTCAGATAAGCACTCTTGCCTCTGTCATGTCCCTCGCTCAATGTGCTCCTCATGTATTTGTTGTCTCCAGCGGCCGCTATAGGGCACGCGTGGCAAGAAGGGTTGAGGTAGCGGGGTCGGTTGCCGAAGGGGGTGCGGCGGCTGAAGGTCGACGACAAGCGGAAGGGCACACACGGGTGATGGACTGAGTCTACCCCACA